CAGCATTACTGTGCTGTACTGTTAGAGTAATAGTTCAAAAACTACTGTCAAGGACTCTTGAGGTGGTTCATGCATCCATAAAAAGATTTAAGAGTAGGTTAGATGCATTATTCTAAATAGGAAGAAAATGGAAAATGCTGAGACTCTCGCTGCTACACTCCTGCTAACTATAACTTAAAGTCAGCACTTGGATTATCATGGAATTTCCCATGGAAGGTTGGAAGGAACCAGTTTGATATCATCACTTCTAATTCTTGGTTAAGATGTAGATAGAACACAGAGTCTGTAGTGGGGACAGTAGGGAAGTCTCACTGATCAAATGGGATTTGAGTCCCTCTTGTTTTCCAAATCTTGCCATTCTTTACTTTAAAAAAAAATCCAGATGCCACATATGCTATCTCACAATATAAAATGACCAAAACAAGTTGGAAATCAGAAGTGATGTGAGGTAGAGAATGACACTACATCACATGGGGAGACTGTGGTGATGCTTTCAATAGCAAGAACAAATATACTAGTGTGGTACCAAGAGCACTTACTAATACATGATTTATGAGGACACTGTAAAATCCCACTGATGAGACTCGGCCAGCAATGGTCCTTACTGAATAGTGCAAAGACTGAGATCCAGAAATTGAACTGGCTTGCCCCAGTCACAGCAAACCCACATCCCAGCATCTCATTCTTCCATGGCACCAGGCATTTATGGACTACAGTGCCTTGGGATCCATTATTGGCATCTTGAAAAACAGCCTATCATGAATATATTTAAGCCATTTATGCTAATTATAAGCCTGTCAAAAGTTAAATAAAGCCATATATATTCATATGCCATAAGTGCCATTTAGGTTATAATGAAAATACACCATCTAATTACAAAAGAAAGCAAGGGGGTAATAGAATCACATATAAAATTTTGAATATAGATTTGTCAATAAAAAAAGGATGAATCCACAAATAAATAAGTCAGTGATATGTCCCATCACACTTACTTGACAAAGAAAGATAAATTCTCATGGGTCATGTTTTCCAAAGTATGTAAGTGCTGATGTACACATAGGAACAAAGTACAAGCACTCCATGCATCAACAAAATGTCTCCATAAGTTAAGGTAGAAAACTCTAGTTCATTTTCACACAAGAATATTCTAGATTCAGGATTTTCAATGCTGTCAACAGAGCCACATTTAATCCACATGTAGCTGAACCATGGCAGCAGGATCTTTTGGAACGTAAGTATCATTTACACGCAGTCTTGCTCACAGATGGGTGTTGTGAGGAATCAAGAGGCCAGTGGTGGATCCTCGGTCCTTACTCTCACACACTTTCTGCTTGAACCTTGCCCTGTTACTCTCCTTCAGCTTCAGCTCCCAGCAGACCCTACCACTTGCTCAATCTGGCAAAGAGCAAGGAGCGGTGTGGTCTCCTCTCTTTTGCCCTGACAACAGACTCAGAAACAGTCTGCAGAGTCAGGCAGCTCTGGCTAAGGAAGCAAATGGAACAGAATACAGGACAGTAGTGGTAGCCAAGGAGTGGTGGGGCAAGAACGAGAATGCTGACTCTGGGGGACGAGGCCTCTGCCCCACTGACACTGGCCACTTGCAGCCCATCGTCAGTCTTGGGTCAGCATTTCGAATTTGAAAACTTCCCATCATGTTTCTGGGCAGAGTTCTGAATGAATAACCATAGCTAATGACCAAAGTGTAAATGTAGCCTCTTGACTGGAACTTGAATACTGCTCTCCCACAGCTAACAGCCAGGGTATGTCATCATCGCCTCTGGCCTTGGCCTGCTCTGGCTTCCTACCTGGTCTCCCCTCTGTTCTTGCACCTCTACCTCAAGCATACCCTATACATCACATACAGCCCAGCAACCAGATGCTTGTAAATCACAAACCTAATCAGACCACACCCTGAGAGTACTTTTGTGGTTTTGAGTTATCCTTGGAACAAATTCAAATAATTGGGTGGTGTTACCCTCCAGTGCCTCTGCCCTTGACTATTCCTACATTCTGGCCATGGGCTTCCCATCAATTCCCAGCCCCCAGGGCTTCTGCATTTCTTGTCCCTTTTGCTAAATTGTCATTGGGCTCATTCTTCTTCATAGCTTATCACTCTTGTCTTGGCTCCTGTATTACTTCTGTCTTAGTTTGTTTCTCCATTGCTGTGACAAAACACTCTGACCACTACCAACTTTGGGAGGAAAGGGTTTATTCAGCTTACATCTCCTGGGTCACAGTTCATTAGCGAGCCCAAGGTAGGAACTCAGGGCAGGAACCTGGAAGCAGGAGCTGGAGCACAGGCCATGGAGGACCACTGCTTACTGACTTGCTCCCCTGGCCCCCGATCAGCCTGCTTTCTTATTCAACACAGGCCCACCTGCCCAGGGTTGGCACCACTCATAATGGCCTAGGCCCTCCCACATCACTCCACAATCAAAAAGATGCCCCCACGGACATGGCCACAGGCCAGTCCGATGAAGGAAATTCCCCAATTGAGGCTCCTTCAATCCAGGTGTGTCAAATTGACACTAAAGCTATACAGCACAACTTCTTTCTAGTCACCCATTCTAGAGGCTCTTTCCCTGTTGCTTGCTTGCTCCTTGTCCTGTCTCCTCTTCAAGAGAACTGAATACCTAACTATTCATATACTTGGCTGTTGGTTCCACACAAAAGCAAACTTCTCTGTCCTTTCCTCTTTCATGGTGTGATCTAAAGGAGAAAAGTACCTTTTCCTTGAGTTCCTTCACGATTCATTCTAACATCCCTCCACAAACATACCTTTAGTAAAATATCCTCTAGACTCAGGCAATATTAATGTACATGTTTGAATTCTTGAGAGAACACAATCAGCAGTGATTTTGCAGAGCTGCCCTGAGTCTTTAGAGGAGAGGAAGGCAAGTCCATTGACATGATCCTCCAGGCTCTCAGAGCTTCTTCCTTCCCTATGTAGAACATCGCATGCCTCTATACCCTTCAGGAGTTACACAGCACACCAGAGGGCTTCTCCTAAAGCTAAATTGCAGTAACAAGCCATTGCCCCCCAGAGCTCTCTCAGGAGCCTCTGGGGGCCACACCCAGAAGTAGGTGAATGCTGAGACACCTGAATATGCTGGTGAACGCTTTGTGAGGCACAATGGAATTGGACAACCCCAGGCATCTCTGGGGGCCTGAGAGTTTGACAGCCTGAGTTCTTATTTCTACTTTGTTACCAACTCTCCATGGGTCCTTTGGAAGTGAGTTATCCTCACTGACACTACGTGTTCTTTAGTGAAATAAACTAAATTCTGTCCAAATGATTTTCTAAAAGGTCGAGATTTGGGTGTTTTTGGTGGTGAGAATGGTAATGTTTGCTTGCTTGTTTTGGTGTTCTCATCTGCCAAATAGCAACAATTATAGTACTTTTCCTTAAATTATAATGTGGGTCAGTTAACTAACAAACAGAAAACATGAGCTATCACTATTGTGGTTCCTTAGTACAACCTTTTGCTTGCTCTTGTATAACTGGAAAAATGTCCAAGGTTGATAATATACGTAAATGAACATCTAAATATTCATATAGAAAATGTGTCCAAAGCACAACAGAGGTGCAAAGAAGGTAACTACTTACTCTCTTTTATATTTAGGAAAGTGTTTTGGAGCTTAAGTAGTAACCTTTAAAACTAGAGCATCCCACAGAATGACAGAAATGCCTAACCAATCTCAGGGGAGCAACCATAGTTAATCCTCAGACACTTACAGTGACCAATGTAAGTCAAAAAAAAATTGAAAATAACTTTTTGAAAGAAAATTTGTTTTGACATTTCTATAGGATTTTAGTTCCCATACTGCAGAAAATTTGGTAGGACCCATCATCCAGTATTTTTTAAAGCACTTTATTATAATGAACTCACAAATTTAAAAAAAAAAAAACCACACAGCTAGATTAAGGTACCACTCAAACAAACACTTGCCCAGTCCCAAACTCTAGGCATCTCATTGAATCCAATATTTTCCAACATAATGTAACACATAAAACACAGTTGGGAAAGGAAAAGAACTCTGAGACAATAAACTTTTCTTCTAAGAAATAGAAAAGCAACTTATAATGCTTTCAAAAGAAATCAAGCTAAGATAGGGAGGACTTTTAACTCCAACAACACTTCTTTTAGAGTCAGTAAGACTGACAGGATCTCACCTGTACATGGTTTTGCTATCAAAGAACCTGCTCATGTAATGTTTATGGGCTGTATTTTAAATACAATGACTTCACTGGTCAGAACAAAGCTACTGAGATTTCCCAAACATAGCTCAATTTCAATCTACGTCTTTCCAAGTCTAGTTCTAAGACTTAACAGCATTTTAATGGCTCTATAAGACTAATACGACATTTTTTACACTTTTATAGGTATCAGATTTAAATTAGTAAGTCACATGGTGACATTATTAACATCTAACATAAGCCAGAACACTATAAATATCATCATTCATGTTTTACAGAGATATCAAATTCTCAAAGAAGAAAATTTGTTTAAAAAGTCTAGAACTCATGTGAAGGCCAGCAATCTGATCATCTTCAAAGCTTTGCATTTGAGATGGTTGCCACAGCAATGATTCCAAAGTGCTTTACTAATGGCATTTTGTAAATCATTTTACTACTAATATGTTTTATTACCTTATTGTCTTTTCAATGTTATTTAATGAAAACTGCCTTCACCAAATTGCCTTCACCATACCAGTATCTGGATATTAACATAAAGAGGTTTCTAACTCGAGACCCCTAAATTCATTGTTTAGGTCAGCAAAATAGGACTACAACAAAGAAATAAGCAGATAAAGAAATTCAATGACAATACTGAAAAATCAAAAACCTATAATGAAATCAAACAGTGCTTCTTTAAAGAAACGTTCATAGCTGAATGTCACTGAAAGAGACCACTGGTGTCTAAATTTGTGTATAACAGAAACATCAGTTAATTTAGCATTGGAAACACTTAAGCAAACTGCCATTCTCCATGGCTTACCTCATCATCTTTGTACCAGGACAAGCTTTCTGCTGTAAGCACGAACCAGTATCCCTTTGAGCCTCCTTTCATGATGCCAATATTGCTGATGGTCAGCCAGCCCTTACGAATCACCTGAAAGAGAGCAGACATCAGCAGAAGCATTGAATTTAGCAAAAGCAAATGGAGGCCAGAAGTCTTGGACTAAGTAAAAGCAAGACATGAGTCACAATAAGAACAGCATTGCTCTCCCGCGATTCATGCTCAACTTCCAAAGAATATATCTTCCAAAAGTGTAGCTGACCGGAGGGAGGTCTTTACTATCTGTGAATCAAACAAAAATCTCGGACTCACATGGATGGTGGAAACCGAGTGACTGAAACAGAAAAGAATGAAATGAGGTAGCCTGACAGGCGTGTGCCAGCCTATTTATGGCATTGCTGCTACAATTAAAACATATTTCATTGATTGGATGAACAACAGACTCTCCACGCCTGTTGCCTAATCTCTCCTTCCAGACTATTAGTGCATTTGTCTGCCTGGCTTGAGGCTCACTGGGATTTACAGCAGACCCTGGTCAGCAAACGGTGACAAAAACAGAACTCAAGCCACCCAATTAGCTTCTTGTTAACAGTCATAAGTAAGGCTGATTGAAGAAGACTGAAATAATAAACTAAAATGAAAAAGTCTGGGGACTCTCAATGGTCCTGATTTATCCACCTACTTCTGGTTGTTATTTGCCATGCACAAAATGTGGAGCATCTTCAAAAAAAAAAGCATCCAATGGCTTTCAGATTTTAAAACATTAACAACTGAGTGACAAATTTGACAGTGCTTATAAGTGGCTTTTTTTTTCCTTACAGTGGTTATAAAGTTAACTTATTCCCCATATGACAATTTACCATTGCCTCTATGCTACATAATTTCATTGTCACAGAACCAGGAATGCAATTCTATATGGGATCGTACATTATCCTAAAGGTAACAAATTATCCTATTCACTATCCTAGGGATCCTAACATATATATTATCTTACATATATATTCAAAAAAAATTTGTTGAATACTAGCCTTTGCCCCTGATCTTGGTAACTGATCAGAACTAGATGCTAAGACTCTATTGCTGAAGACACTACATACAAAGCTGTAGAATGAACAAGGAAAACTCAAGCTTGTGCTGACTTCAGAGCCTCATCTCTACTGGCTAGTATTCATAATGCTGGAAGCTGCTTGCATGCTACCAGAAGGAAAAAACAATCATCAACTCTACCCAGCTGTAAATCCTGTGAACTTCAGTAATAACTGGCCTTGCAAGATATGCCCACTGGTGCAATAGTGGCACAAATATTATGAAAGTAACCAACCACTCCTTAATTGGATTTAAGGTCTGCTTTTTAGAATGTAGCCCATACATGACACTGATATCAGGCTTAGGAACCTGAAACTAGACAGGTCACAGGACATAGGAGAGGACCTCACAGAGTTTTCTACTGAATAGTTATCATTTCTGACTCTTAATGACTTACTATTATGCCCATAGATTAATGCATCTCTCTACTCTCATCAGAGAAGGTTCCTTATGCAACAGATGGTGATTAACACAGAAACTCACAACTGGCCAATGTTCAGTGCTTATCCCGGAATAGGACACCTATATCAAACTTCTGCCTTCAAAGGCTCAGGGACTACTGCAGAAGGAGGGGTGGAAAGATTGTAAGAGTCAGAGATGGTGGATGACCTCAAAGAAACAGTTTCCTAGACAGCTGGTCAATTACTCGTATGAACTCACAGCTATGGTGGCAGCATACACAAGTCCCATGCAAGCTCAAACCAGGAAAAAAAAAATCCCAGTATAGACATAAGGAAGGCGGTAAGAAGTTCCAGCTCTACCTCAGGAAATTCTGGCAACAGATGGTTGCTGGAGGGACAGAAACAATCTCTTTCAAGTACAGGATCTTGGTAGGTCAACCATGCTCCAGGGGATGGACCCACATTGAAGGATATTTGGAGACACAAATTAGACTCTATAGGCCTTAGTATATATGTAATATATAAGAGTATATATTATAGAGTAGATTAAATTGGATGGGGGCAATAAGAGGATGTGTAGATAGGGAAGGAGACATAAATATCATCAAATTACATTGTATGAAAATTGAAAGATTTCAATAAAGTACACAAAATTATTTGTGGAATGATTGTTAGTTCTAGTTGACATTTAAGAAAGGCCAGTCCTTAGAAAAATTAAGAAAGAAACTAAGGTTCTCAGTGTGGACCTTACAAACATCTCTCTACATTTCTGCCATGGCCACACTTAATTCCCTATTTCAGCATCCCTGACTCTCTGTCCTCCCATCAAGAGGCCTTGCTACTTTATATGTTCCCATAGAGCACCCCTCTCAGATCCAGAAAAAGGCAGGGTACTCTGTTGATCAAAATTACCCCTTTGACTTACTCTGTTCTTTAGAAAGAAGCCAACAATAGGTCTCAAAATACAGCTCCTACCAGACATACTGTAGTCATTCAGATGTTTTCTGAAATCATAAGGTTCTAGACTACTATCACTCCGAGTAAATCAGAATACAGTTAGGTGAAACCTAGGAACCTACTTAATTTCCTTTTTCTTCTCCATTTCTTTTTTCTTTTTATTTATTTATTTATTTATTTATTTATTGGTCTTTTGGAGACAAGGTCTCCCTGTAGACCCAGCTGACATGGAACTCGCCTTGCAGATCAGGCTGGCTTTGAACTCACAGAGATCTACATGTCTCTGCCTCCAGAGCAGTTTCTTTTTTTAAAGAGTTACTTATTCTTACTTCTTGAGCATGAGTGCCTGCATGTGTATAAGTGCACCACATGCATGCAATGCCCACAGAGGTCAGCCTAGGAAGAGATTATAAAACATAGGTTGTTTGAAAAGTTGACCTTGGTAGATTATAAAAGCTCATACATAGGCTTTTTTCAGTAGACAAGAGGCTGCCTCTATAAACACAGTTTACACTCTGTAAGACCTGCCTCGGCAGATGCTGGAGTTCCATGAGGATACACAAAAGGTGTGGGTCAAACCAGTCACCCAGTTGGTTTGGAGTAAGCTACTGTGGCAAGAATAGGCATCCTCGGAACTCAGAATCTAGGCAGCTTATCCTGAATTTGACTGGCTGACGTTTTTCTAGAAAGCATGCCTGAGGCGGGATTCAATGATAAAGAAAAGTGTCTTCCAATGTATAGGCTCGTGGGCTTAAAGATTTGAAACTTGGTCCACCACTTTTATACTACACTGAGATGCTCAGGTACACAGAGTACTCTTAAGGCTCCATCCATTAAGGCCAGGCCTTGTAGGAGGGATTAGAATAGCACCCTTAATAGCATTCCATATCAGGGGCCAGACCAACAGGAGAAGGGGGGAGAGCTAACTTTATTCATGTGACTTGCTTACTCACTTAAGGGTTCCTACCCCATTGCACCTAAGCATGCATTCTGGAGCTAGAATTGGGTTAATTTCACAGAAAAAAAAAAGGTCTCTTTAGGATATCTAGACTTCTTAGAGTAAGGGAGAAAAAAACAAAAGCAAAAGGAAAATAAAAATGACAAGGTTTTGTATAGGTATGGTGTAAGAAAGTGACAAATAAGTCCTGGTGATTGGAGCTGCCATCACTGCAAAGTCTTAAGTTCTAATGCACAGCAGTGCTCACGTGTCCTGCGCTGATAGTGTGTGCACTATCTGTGTGTGCACTGGATACGTGGCAGTCCCACTCTATGCTAAACGCACAGTGGTAAAGTTGACAACTTAGAAATAGAAAGTTATAGATTTACAAACAGCTAAACAAAATTTGACTGGTAGCCTGATAGTGGTGAAGTCAGGAAAATTTACGGTCTCTTTAGGATATCTAGACTTCTTAGAGTAAGGGAGAAAAAAACAAAAGCAAAAGGAAAATAAAAATGACAAGGTTTTGTATAGGTATGGTGTAAGAAAGTGACAAATAAGTCCTGGTGATTGGAGCTGCCATCACTGCAAAGTCTTAAGTTCTAATGCACAGCAGTGCTCACGTGTCCTGCGCTGATAGTGTGTGCACTATCTGTGTGTGCACTGGATACGTGGCAGTCCCACTCTATGCTAAACGCACAGTGGTAAAGTTGACAACTTAGAAATAGAAAGTTATAGATTTACAAACAGCTAAACAAAATTTGACTGGTAGCCTGATAGTGGTGAAGTCAGGAAAATTTACTTCATCTGCTCTCTCTCTTTCAGCAGCCCTGAATATCTGCTTCCAGCCAGCGTCAAACAGGGCCTGGCAAGAATTGCTTTAAAAACTAGAGAATCTACTTGTTTATTGTTTACTTGATTAATGGAGAGCCAGTGCTAGCATTCTTTATTGTGTCCCACTTTGCTTACTTATGAAATAAGTGTCTTGGTTTGGATAAGTGCCCTTGTTAAAGGCCTTCCCACTAGGCTAGCACTAGTAGGAGGTGATGGGACTTAGCAGGAGTTCCTTAGATCCTTGAGGCATGCTCTTGAACAGTACCAGGGGACCCCTGTCCCCTTCCTATTTATTTCCTGCACTCTTAAGGGGTGGTTTGTTCTACCATGATATGCTGCCCTCACCAGAAGCCCAAAGCTATGAATCTACTTGATCATGGACTAGAACCACTAGAATCAAGAGACAAGTAAATTTTTCCCTGTGATAAGTTACTGTCTCGGGTATTTCATTATAGTAATGGAAAGCTGACTAATTAATTCAATAAGGAACACAAGAAAATATTTCAATTTCAAAAAACCAGAAGAAACAACCCATTGTTATGGAGACCTGCTCAGGGTACAGTTGATGCAAGGGATCCCAAGGCCACCTGGACAAGAGTACCCCCTTGGCTGAGGCTGCCTAGCCAGTAGGAATTGACACTGGACTTTCATTTGTTGTTCCACAAGTACTTTGGCTTTGCAAACTCCTTTAGGAATATGATCATTGGGCTTTAATTTTTGGCAACTTCATAGAAAGAGGAAGTTTACAGTCATATCAAGGGCATGTCTTTTTGGTTGACATTTTATTACTGATGTGTAACATCTTATAACATATCAATGATGTCATCTGATTGTTGCAGAGTCTCTGAGAGGTTATGGAAACAACTTGGTTGAATACA